AAAAAAAAAAAAAAAAAAAGAAAAAGCCATCCTAGTGAACTTTTTGGTAACTAAGACCAGCCTTAATTTCATAAGGATTCTTAAACAGGATCAAGAAAGGTGATTTAAAGTAGTTTTGGCAGTTAGTTGCATACCGTATCACATATAACCTGGAGAAAGAATCAAATAGAAAATGTAATGTAATATTGATAAGCAGAAAAATTCCCAGTATGATACTTCATGCTTATAGGAAATTTTATTTTTGAGGAGAAGGGGGCTGTAAATTCATAGTAATTATTTTATTTCTAGGCTAAATCTGTTCTTTGGCATTTTGAGAGGAAAATTTGAATTGAAAGCTTTATTTGTGATTATGCTTGTTATTATTTCCAAGGCATCATTTGTCTTTGTAAAAATGTTGGTATTCACTGCCTTATTACATAAAACATTTCATTTATGATATTACTGTCATGATAAATGAAAATGGTAGGTTTCAATTGTAATCCCATAATGTGTGGGCCTGAAGGAGGGCAGCGGGGAGAGTTTGAGGCCAGCCTGAATCTGTGTGGAGAAATCCCATCTCCAGAGGGGGGATAAAACAGGTTTTAAGGGAAAACTAGTTTTAGTGGGCTATCTCTTCACCAAATCATTTATTTCTATAAATTTACTGAGTTGGTGAGTATTTCTACAAAAACTACATTTTTGGGTAAACACATCTTATTTAAAACTTCCTTTATTTAAAAAAGCATGTAAATTAAAGCTGTATCAGTATGAGTAAATTTCAAGAATACAGGGTTAGGCTTTTAGGCATCAAAAGCAAGTTGTACCATATGTAGAGTCTGATGTTTCTGTATGTTTTATTTATTAATTTATGGTGCTGGGGATTGAACTCAGGACCGTGCACTTGCCAGGCGCTTATTCCACGAAGCTGTCTCCCCTGCTCTCTATAAATTTTATTTTTATTTATTTATTTATTTTTTTCTTTTCAAAGTTTTATTGATAATCTCTATAAATTTTAAAAACATACAAAACACTCATCCAGGACTGGCGTTGAGTATGTATGGGTATCACCTCTAAAGCATGTGACATTATGTATTAAAATTCACCTAGTAGTACCTCATGTAAGTAAGTATTCTTCAGATGTACTAGAGTAAAGGATTGTAGCTGCCATATTTCTAATACAAAAGTTTGGAAGTAGCCTTTCTAATAGGATGACAGTTCAGTTATGATATATATATGCAGTGAACTATCTTGTAAATATTAAGAAAAATGACAAGCAAGAACAATTGCACAGGTCGGTTCTTATGACATGAAAATAAAATGGTGTGTATAGTACACCTACCACTTACATATAAAAAGCAGCAGCATACATACGTACATGTTACTACTTTAATATGTACAGGCATAGTGTCTCTAAAAATACACATAAGACTATGTCACAGTAGTTGCTAGAAGAAGGGAAACTAGGTAGAAGGAGACATTGCATTTTTTTCCTTTGTGTGCAGTACAGTCATGCTTTCAAAATACATAAAATTAAATTAGTGAAAGTAAATGTGAAGAACAATGCTACTATGTTTTCATGGAGTTACGCTTGCGTAATACTATCTACGTGTGTGGGAAGGGAACACCAACTTAGTGTAGTGGTTATCTCGGAGAAAGAGGAAGGAGAGAGGAGAAGTGATAAGGCTTCAGTTGGATCTGTAATATTCTATTGCTTAAATTGGTGGTGGTACATGGGTATTTGTTTTTTTGATGTGCCTAAAATTTTTTTTTTTTTAAACATAGTCCCCCTCTTCCCCCTCTACTGGGACTGAACCCAGGGTCTTTGTACTGAGCTATATTCCAGCCTCCCTTTTCCCATTTTTTCAAAACAGAGCCTCACTGAGTAGCTAAGTTGCCCAAGATGGGCTTGAACTTCTAATCCTCCTGCACCAGCCTCCCAGAAAACTGGAATTACTGGGTTGCACCACTATGCCCAGCTAAAAATAGCTAGCTTTCTCAAATTTTTATATACAGCTTTTAAACTCACTCCTCTCTAGGATTAAGCTATTTCTTTAACACTTAGTACTGACATTTTCATTATTTTAGAATGGGAACAAAATGGCTAGGGGGATAGAATACCTTCAGTAGATGTTTGTATCTTTAGCATCTCTAGGCTACTAAAATCCTCTCTTAAAGTGTGATCTTGTTTCATTTCAGCATTACATATCTGATTAGAAGAGTGTTCTATAGTTAGACAAACATTCCCTTAGAAAGCAGTAACATAGTTGCTAGCTCTTACTTGGTTGATTAATCTGCCTTTCTGTGAGACAGACGTTGCCAATGCTGGCAGCCTTTGCTGTGGGAAAAGCAAGATTTCTGTAGCCAAAATACCAGTAGTAAACCAGACATGGTGGCTCATGCCTGTACAGTAGTCCTGCTACTTGGGAGGTTGAGGTGGGAGGGCCTCTTCCTGGGCAGCTAGCTACCCCCGCCAAAGAAGCAAACAATCAGGCAATCAAACCAAAACAAATAACATTGTCTTGAATTTTGCCCCAAAGCAGCATTGTAGCATATTCTGTTCTAAAATAGTAACAGTCTGAAGAGTAAAGTTTTGACCTTTGATAGAAGTAGGCAACCCTTTTGTAACACCGATTCCTGACAGGGTTCATTTACTGTAGTTACTGTGGCTGAAACATAGTTTTCTGAATGGAGAATCTTTAGCCTAGTTTTGAGAAAACTGTTCTGTTTCTAAAAATGTGCCAAGAATTTTCCACAGAGCTGGGGAGAGCTGGGGTGTGCAGAGTAGATAGCTCTGAAGATGGATTCAGGAGATCCTTTCCAGCTTGATCACAGAGCTTCACCAGTTACAGAATCTCTTAGCGCCTCAGTTCCTTCATCTGTAAAATAAGATAATCAGTGCATGACAGGCTTATTGTGAGGCCCAAACAGGATAACCGTGGGTATTTCCTGAACTCTAAAGATACTATGTTGTTAAAAGTATTATCCTGTTGAAATTTTAATATTTAAAGTGTATTGATAGTGGGGTTCAGGGTCAATATTTTTGTTGCTGTACAGACAGTGTAACAGATGATAATGTAATGAACTTAAATTATGAATATTTTGCTCAGATGAAGGAAGGGGAAGAATGAGTCAGTTGGAAGAGCTAATTTCTATTCTGAGTCGTCAGTGTTGGGATGATTTCAAAACCTTGAGAATAACTTGCATCATTTTAGAATGGGCTCTTGCCCCCATCCTTCCGTGCTGCCATATTGTGTATATGAACGCCCCAGATGCTGCCCCAGGACCATCCCTGATGCTAACAGAGGGTAAACACCAGGATCTCACTAGGTGCTCTTCAGGGGTCCTCACTTGGCTTCTAAGGGTGGTAATGAACCTTGGTACATCGGTGAATTTGAAATCACTACTGATGACAGAGCTGGGAAAATTTGTGAGACTCTCACATGGACCATGAAGAAGCAAGATGAAAACCTTTTCCAGATTTAGGAAATCTCTTTACTGTGGAGAATTTCTGGTCTTAGTGCTTTGAACACCTTTAAAAAGCAGAAAAACCACAGGAGCTGGTATATAGTATACTAAGAGCAAGAAGTCCTCCCTGCCTGAGGAACTCCCAGGATAACAATGTGTGAGGGAACGCTGTCGCTGATGTTCATACAGGCTGAGCATATACTTTCCTTGTATATAGAGTGTTCCATTTCAGAAATATTTTTTTAAAATTAATTTTATTGAGAAACAAATAGCAATGAGACAGTTTCAAAACCGATTACTAACACAGTTTCAATAATAAATACATTGCATATTGTTGTCTTCATAGTGGTTATTCATAATACAAGATGCAGACATAGCCTGTCCAAACACTATTAGTACAAATCTTTCTTCTCATTGAATTAAGAGCAAGTAGCTGTATATCTATCCTATTTTGTATATACAGATACAAAATGGTCCTTCATTTGTATCCCCTTTTTTGTTTAGTTTTGTCAGAGGTGGGTATTACCTTGCCATTTAAATATTGTATGTGTGTGAATTCACCAAAATATTCCACTATAGTCCAGTAGTCCATATTAGTAGTGGGTTATCTGTAGGACTGGCAGTGTCAGAAGTTGTTGACTTGAGCCTTTTACAGCTCAGCATATTAATATGGCTTTACATTTTATACCTCACTTTTATCCTTTTCTGCTGGATGGTTAAGACCAAGATAAAGCAAGACCTACATAACAAGAAATGTAACTTTTGTATCTGACCAAGTCAGTCAAATCCCCTCAGGATTGACCCTGAACCTCTGTACTGCAGTTTATAGATCCTTTGTCACTGTCAGCCATGCGGATGAGTCACGGCCCTTGCTTGACTAATTTGCTCTCTGTGAAAGCCTGAGAAATCTTGAGCTGGGGATGTGGTTCAGTAGTAGAATGCTTGCTGAGTCCT